TAGGAGAGTTTGGTGTAGTAGAAAAAACTTTTTCAAATTTTTGGGTTAGAGTTTGTTGTTTTTGGAGTATTTATGTGAACACTACTTGTGTGCAATCTAGCTATACAGAATTTCTTAGCCCAAATTTCTAATTGGCCTTCTTCTTATAAAGCTGAACTACTAGCAATACTATCTGTTATCTCTACAATTTCATGTAACTCCAGCTTGCAAATCTACACTGTCGATCTGTTTTTTTTTGGCTGATTGGTGGTTAGGTTTCACGTGATTGGCCCGGGTTTAATGATAGTTAGTCATTAAGGTATTGGAATGATCGGGATTATTTTGTTAACAGTTACTTGTTGTTACTTGTTGTTCGCTATCTTCTTTTTACAGTATTCCCATTCTACACCCGATTTAGTTATAATATATTATACCAGTACGATCACGTTTTACCAGTACGATCACGTTTCTTGTGTAACATGAAATGTGGAGGGATGGTTTCCTTCAACTTTTTTGATGTCGCTTATCCTGATTTTTGCAAAAACCTTTTTTAGTAGGAGTAATGATTTTCATTTATTCGTTTTTGGAAAGAGTTAAAATTTTTACATACCAAATATGTAATATATATGTAAATCACTGTTATGATGCATGACTGGCGTCACTGATTCATCATTATGATGTTAACGGTGTTAATTTAAATTTTACATACCGTATATATATAATATAATTTCATATGCAAATCACTCATTATCAGTTATGATGATTTAATTTAAACCGGTACGATACGTTTCTTGTGTAACATAAAATGGTTTTCGCTCAACTTTTTTGATGTTTGCTATGCCGATTTTTGAGGGGTTATGGTGATTCTGACGACACAGATGACAACATGTGCATGTTATTGTATATTGAACGTTGGTGTGGGAAATATATTTGCGTAAATATATTGTGGTCGGTGGATACTGGTCTTATTACAGTATTATGTACTTGTCTAAAATGACATTTATATGTTGTAATTGAATAATAGTATGGGATACTTTTTTTTGAAATTATGCCTGCTTGGTATTGCTAATCAATGCAGCGTGATCTGATTTTGAAATGTAATCTTATATCGGGTATATCCAAAAAACCGTAATCAGACCGTGAGAAAATTTTAAAATATGAAAAGTTATGCCGATTAATTCGTCATGGTAGTTGATCTATCACTGTCATTTTTTAAAAAATCGACTCCTGTTTGTTACGTTATTTTGTATTTTTGAGATTTAAAAATTGACTTCTATTCGTCATGCGCACTTCGTATCTTTGAAATTAGATTGCAACATTAATAACATGCGTTATTGAGTTACTGTGTATTGCAGACTGGTTAGGTTTATAAAGTAAATCCTGATAGAAGCTATTATAATTTCAGCGCGAATTAACTCAACTCTAACCGCATATTGGGATTATTAGAAGTTTTGCATGAGAATTTTTTACAGTAATTCTTGGTAGAAGTTACAATAATTTCATTGCAAACTCAACCTTAACGTATTATATGCTAAGTAAGTTTGTAACAAAATTTTTTATAGTAATTTACAATAGAAATTGTGATAATTCTAATACATACTAATTCACCTTTTCAAGATTACCGATATAAACTCTAATAGCTTATTTAGCTGCACATTGTGAGAGTGGTGGATATTGGGTGTATGGCTAAAAACCACTAACAACACTACTATCTAATCAAACCAGTGTCCTTTAATTGTGCAAGATTCTTGAATTGGTGGGCAAAAAAGGGCATGGTCAGATATCGAGGCTCTTTTAGGGTTTTACTGCTGTGTAGTCAAGTAAGTTAAGTATTTCTGGGATTTCTTGTGAATAGTTCTGCTGTGGTAAGAATTTTATTCTATTTATATAATTCTTCTTTATTCTAGTCGCAATGGTTGAAAGGTTCTAATGCAATTGTTAATATTATTAATGATCATCATGTGATCAAGGGCGAAATTAGATGATGCAGGTGATTAATCTAACAATTGAATGGATTAATTGTTCTATAAAATCAGGTAATCAAAGGGTTAATCAATTTATATTTTTATATAAAAGCTGATTTAATTCGATCTTTCTTTAGATTAATAATTTCAAATTAATGATGTAACTAATCAAATTTTTTAATGATTTTTTTTTTTAATTTTACTTTTGTTGAATTTCGTTGTTTCATCAGACTTTACATTCATCCAGTTTCAAACAACTCTCACACTTCAAGAAAACTACATTTCACAACTCTTATTTTATTGACAAGTTTATTTTGCAGATGATTAATTTACAAACATGTTTGTTTTTGTGAACAAAATATATTTTTACTAATAGTTCATTTTCAAAGTAATTTTAGTTATTAATATAAAGTTTGAAATTATTTTTATGTTATTAGTAAAATATGCTGTTTACAAGATGAAATTTGTCTGTAAATTGTCTGTAATATAAATCTATCAGTAAAATGAGTGTCAATGAAATGTGGTGTCTTTGAAGTGATTGTTTGTAAAATCATTGCCACCTGGATGGAAGAGTGATGACTTTATATCAATTTGTTGTTTTAACCCTTAAGGTTTTTATGGTATGATCTTATGGTAACTTGTTAAATGCAAGAATTTTCTGGTTAATGTTGTGATTACATATGATTGTTAAAATTGAAAACTATATATAATTAGGCCACATGAAGTTAAATTTTCAATTTGCACAAAAAAATTTTTTTTTAGATACCAAAAGTGCCAATTTATGAATGCATTCGCATTGAACATTATATATATATATTGGGCTATACCAGCAAATAATTAGGCAGATAAGTTTTATTGGGCTTGAAGTTTGCAGAGTATGTAATAGAAATAAGACTATTTAAAGTTAATTTTTCATTTTGCATGGTGTTTCAAAATTCAAGTTGGCCGGCGGGTTGGATTTTTTTTAATTATTTTCACTCAGATTTCATATTAAACACTTTCTTTATTAGACATTACGAAGATATATGATTGGAGTAGTGCTCCACTTTATCACTTCTCTTCTGCTATTACATACTGTGCTCACAACAACTCTATGTGTCTTCTGCTATTACATACTATGCTCATAACAAATCTGTGTGCAAGTGATACATCACATGATAAAGCATAATTGAGAATCGCCGATACTAAGGTGTGCGCATCTCTTTTTTTTTTCTAGCAAGTCAAAACCCATGCTTATGTTACTGCACATTCAACTCATTACATACAAAAAATTCTTCTTTTTCAGCGAGTTTGAGCCCACGCTATGGAGCAGCGCGTTCAACTTAATACACATGACAACATTAACGTAAAATAGTGAGTTCGAGCCCAAGTTATGGTGCGGCGCATTCAACTCATTACACACAACAACAGGCAGTGTGCTAGGTGCAATGAATAAAAGAGAGCGGGAGGGATGGGAGCCAGAATCTTATCGGGCGTTGAAGAGAACAAGTGACAAGACAAGCGAAGTAAAAAAGCACTAAGATTCTCTATTTTCTTCCACATGTATCTTTATAATCTTTTCTACATGCATACTTACCTACAATATCTATCACATGCATCTATAATCTCCGTTGCATACAATTGTATGCTATTACCTTTTTCATATAAGCCTCAATTTCATATAAGCCACAAATCAGGTTATCCTCCCCTAGCGTGACTTCGTCAACGCATAGAGCTATTTATTGTAAATTAATAATCACACATTTTGTATAAGACCACACAGGATTTTTTTTCGGCTTGCATAACATGGAATTAGAAAATTTTGGTTTTTTTTTCAGATCTAGCAGGTAATTCCAAAACATTAAGGTTGCCATCATGTACACCAGAGAAAAAATTACATAGCAAAAAATGGAATAATTTCTTATTGAAGTTAAAAAAAAATTTTTTTTGAAAATTGAATTGGTGAGTAATGCAAAATAAAAATTAACTTTGTGTGGCCTTAACCAGAATGGCAGAGTCATTCTGTAAAGAAACAACTATAATAGCACTATGAGTCACTATAGAATTAGCCAATTGGGCATTCTCTATCTGCCAAAACAAACAGCTGCGATGGAATCGGTGATTGCATAACATAATTTTTACAGTAACACATGATAGTTATCGCAATAATTTGAATACAACCAACTTAACCTCATACTAGAATAGCAAGTTCTATATTTTGCAATAACCTACAATTGTGGCACCCGGAAAATGTGTACCAGGTTGGGTCCGGGTGCACAATTGTGATAATTTCAAAAAACCTAAACTAATTCACAATCTTAACTAATTGAATATCAAATCATAACAATAATGTCTGGTCGTTGAGCATTAGTGGATTGATCCTTGACAGTAATAATGAAAATATATAACTAATACTGTTCAGCTGCATAAGTGGCTGATCAGTATCAGTTAGTATTTCCGTTATTACTATCAAGGATCAAACCATTAATACAAATGACCAAAAATATTAAACGATCAAATATCTTTTAAAACATAATAGCACTATTGTAATATATGTGAAAATTATAAAATAAAAACTTTATAGCAAAAGTGAGCTATTTGTTCTAGTACTAAAGTTCATTTTGTTTGTGCAGGTATATCTCGAGTTAATCATCACCACAAGGCTGATCGTACTGGTCCTGTGCCGCATTACGCGCTGCGCAGCTATCTTATATAATAAATATATATATATATTGTTTGTATATTGTTGTTCCGGCAACATTTTTATGAAATAAAGAGGGGGTCCTATGGGCTCGCCATTTTTTATTTTGACGCGATTGTGTGAACAAGTATTGATCATTAGTTATACTATTATTTTGATTTTATTAGTGAAACTAGCTTCGCTAAAATTAATAATTTTTATTTGTTGAACCATGACCTACGAATTGAGGAAGAGAGTAAAAGAAAAAAAGAGAAAAAAGCGAATAAAAGAAAAAAAAGAGAATAAAAAGAGAATAAAAGAAAAAAAGAGAAAAAAAAGAGAAAAAAAAAGAAAGATAAAGAAAAGTAAAAAAAATCTAAAATATAACGGATGAAAAGTCAGGATGCGATATTATCGTAAATATCTATAAAATAATAATACAAAGTATAGAATTATAAACGTTAAAGAGAATGAATAATACATTAAATTATAATTTAAAATAAATAATCTATTTCTATTTTCTAATATGCGAATTTGTTCAGTTAATCGACCAGCGATCAACCTCTTAATATCTTGACACATTCTAGTATACAAAGTAACAATAATATCGCCTCCTGAATCATCAGCCGCATCATATGCCACTTTTGCAATTTTTTGTTCCAAGACCCCAACAAGAATTCCAAAATCAAAATTTCCTCTTCGAACTACTGTTAAAAACGCATCAGCTTCTTCTCGACCTAAAACGATCAAAAATTAATAACATTAAATAATAAAAAGATCATAATAAGTAATCATACCTATACACATACCTATACACTTATAATACCATGCTACATTAAACCACGAATCTATAGCCATCCATATCCACAATAATATCTCGACCTCCATCACCACTCGCCCTAAAAAATAATTTAATGAGTATATATTTCATCGTCATACGTGGTTGGTGCCAACATGTATCTTATTCATCATCAAACCCCCGGGCAACGCATCGGACGGGGTCATTGACAACTGAGAAGAACGATCACTGCCGAAACAGTGGCCCGATGTGCTTTCGATTCTCAGATAATTTACGTCAATGTGACAGCGTAACTTCGGATACATAATGACTCAGTAAGAAAACTCACCCCGTATGTGTAACTATCGCACCTAGTTCTTCAAAATACCTCGCCAACAACTCGCAACAAAACAGCTCAAATCTCCTTCCCAATGCATATGACGACTCGCCTTCAATACGTACGAATTCTTCGATTTCAAAATACATTTTATTTGAACAAATAACAATTTGCATCAGTGAACATTGAAAAAAGGCTTTTATACTTTTTATTTTATACATCTTTTACTCCTTATTTGCTGAGAATATTTTGTTAAAAAAACGAGTTTCATTCATAGAAAAGATAATTACTTATAAAAAAAAAATGCTAAAATCCCATTTTTAGAATGTATCAAACCCCTTTATTTATACCATTTATGCATACATTAGTTATAGTAACGTTTATCTATCGGCACCAATATCGAATTTAGTATAGAACAAATAAAAAAATGGCACTTGTATTTGTGCTTGTCTCACAAATAATTATGCATGATAAGCCTTGCAAGGTGATACGATAACAAAAAATGTTTAAACTACCCATCATTATCGCTTACATATTCAGATTATTATTAATTATTAATCATAAGAATTGGTAATATTTTATGATCAAATTATTACGACAAAATGTAATCATGGAATATTCTCATCGCATGATTATGATGCAATGATTAGGTATTAACAAAAATTCGCACAACACTGGTTTTCGAATTGCAACGTGCACCTATGCGTATTCAAATAATAATGACTCTTCATTGGCATTTAATTCTAAAAGCAATATTCCGTTAAGTTTGCTCCATAATTATTGGTACAATGATTCGCGGTTTACAAAAAGGCACGAAAATATGGGTTCATAATCAGCTTTGCGTTTAACGATTTTTGAAAATCTTTCTATTATTTTAAACAATGCAGAGAAATTGATCATTGTTATCATTGTAGTCACGGAATTTTTAGTATTGTGATTGATTATCAATAAAATTCTACAATAAGACCAACTCTCGTGTAACATTACTGCATATATAGAACACAATCATACTTCTTGTACGTACACACGTAGTCTTATACCCTGGTCACTATATCAAGATCGCAGGGCATAAATCAGTTATGTCCTGGGCACTATGTGATAAGCGGGACTTTCAGCCCCGCTTATACCCAACTGCCCAGGAAATAACTATTACTTGTAAACGACGAATGGTGTAGAATCATTGATCAAAATTATCAGAGCATTGCTTTTAGGATTAAATGCCAATGAAAAAGCCAATGAAAAAGCCTTAATCCCTTATTTAAATACAGTAGTCCAGAATTATGACTAAGCACGACGCGGTATATAAGTGCTTCTGAAACCACATATTGAGGTGACAATGCTTTCAAATCTGTAGGAAGTCGGTGAATATCTATGTTGTATTTCATTTTAAATGTTCACAACTAAACATTCTATAACATGGTCACTTTAAAAGTCAATCAGACGAATTTAGAACAAGGTCACAATGAACACATTAACGAAGAATTTTTAAAATCTTAATTTCTTGAAAAACTCGAGCATCTCAAAAATTCGTAAGTAAAGACAGAAAAAGTTCTTCTATATTTCCCGAATTTAAACATCAACACATTGTGGCTGTACAAGTAAATTTCATATTTCGATATATATTTTTTTTCTTATAAATAATTATCCGAAGGATCATGGGAGAAATCGACCGGAGCGAATTTTGTAAGGCATTATTAATTCAATAAATGATTGCAAAGGAATTATGTATTTTTTAATTTAAATTTTTTATTAATTATATCAATATTCCTTAAGATTACAGGTTAAAAACTATGATACGGATAGAAATCAGATTTCAAAGAATTCTTAACTTTTATTTATAAGCTCTATGTTGAAGATGATGAAAACAAAAGAAAGAAGAATGCCTATATTTATTTTACATTTAGATGGAAGTTTGTAATATGTATGTACATTATAATATAATATTTTCATTGTATTTTCCTCATTGATTTTGCTTATCATACAGATTCCGAGTATCAGAGAACTGTAGTATGAAAAAACCATTTCCTTAAAATATTCGAGAATCCTCCGATCAGTATATCCAGGCGTTTCGAATGTGCTATTTCTACACCATCAGTATAAATTCATTCGGTTAATACGAAGGGATAGTCCCAAAATTCTGATCTTAAGTTATGGTCAGCTAGGTAAGTTGAATTTTCATTATAATTACTGTATTAGAGTAACATAAATCCTGAAAAGCTGCTGGTGACTAAATCAGTAAATTTCTGATAGGGCAAATAGATGTTTTTGTAAATTCTGGGTAGCTGAAAAAATTTTGATGACCGAGTAGAGTTAGACGATATTTTGAGGTTTCGCGCTGATGAAACGCTTCATCTTTCGTCAATTAAAATCTTAAATGACGAAATGACGAAACAGCAAAGGGCGACACAACTAATAAAGAACGAAGATACAGGTAAATGTTGTTGAAACTCATTGAAGATAATGTGAATAAAAAAATAAACTAATAAAACCGAAAATCACAAAAAATTTATTGTATAATAGGCGCTTGGATTGTTTAAAGGGAGTTAGAAATGAGTATTCTAGTGAGAAATCGCTTGATGCTTAATTTGTGATCTTACAAAATTTATTTGTACCATTATGTTTTAATTCATTATTTGTGCGTACTATGGCCTTTTGACAAGGTTATTTCTAACAACCCCAGCGTTGTTCAGAGAAAAGATGAACTGGATTACTTTGGCTTGCGTACATGTAATTTTGGATACTGATTTCTGAATAAACAATGAAAATAACATTTTTTTTTTTTTAGCGGGAGCACTAGGGTTTCGTCTTTATGAGCGTAAGGTTTGGTCATTTTACGTTAAGATTTCGTCTTTCGGCAGAAGAGCTTGGGTTTCGACTTTCGTCTTTTTGGGCTTATGTTCGTCGTCATGCGAAAAAGGTTCGTCTAACAACTATACGACCGAGTCGATATCAATAAGCTAACGATATTGGCCGATATCGATTCGGTTATTGAAAATTTTCAATTGTCTCAGAATTATGAAAATAACTGTAAAAAATTTGAATTAAAACTTATTAAAATCACAAATATATCGTAATTTATATGAAAGAATTTTGACATTAAACAGAAGCATTAGTTACTTTCAAGAGATTTTGCATAGCGACCCAGAAACACGAAGAATTGCGAACACGTGGTGAATATTAGATTTAAAAAACAACTTATCATTACGATCAGTGAGTGCTTGGTAATTTAATATTGATTCTAATCTTTACAGTTATTTCATTTTCATTATTACTGAGACAACTGAAAAAATTATTGATAACAGAATCGTTAAGTTTTTGGGGTACCCATTTGACCAACATCACATAGGGTTAGGGTTAGCGTTTTATTAGTTGCATATATATTAATAGCAAATCTTCACCCGTGTCAGTAAATCCAAGTTTTTTATGTCAGCAATTTATCGGTAATATAGTTGTGAGACGAAACCTCGAGTTTCGCGCTGACGAAACGCGAAACCTAGTTTCGTCTTTCGTCAATTAAAATTTTAAATGACGAATATACAAATAAATGTTGAAAATCATTGAAGATTATGTGTATAAAAAAATAAACAAACCCAAAATTTATAAATTACAAAAAATTTTATTGTATAATAGGCGCTTGAATTGTTTAAAGGAAGTTCGAAATTAGTATTCTATATTATATTATACATATCAGTTCGAGTGAGAAATCGCTTGGTGCTTACTTTGCGATCTTACAAATTTATTTTGTGCTAGTATGTTTTAATTCATTATTTGTGTTATTCCCATGAGTACTATGGCCTTTGACAAGATTATTTAACCGGTCTATAACAGCCCTATAAAAAATGAACTGGTTTATTTTTGCTGGTATACATGTAATTTCGGATACTGATCTCTGAATAAATTATGAAAGCTGGAGCACTAGGGTTTCATATTTTTGAGTGTAAGGTTTTGTCTTTCGCCAGAAGAATTTGGTTTCGACTTTCGTCAGAGGTTTCGTCTTTTGGGTTTAGATTTTGTCTACGTCATCATGCGAAAAAGGTTTTGTCTAACAACTATAGTCGGTAATTTATCGATCCGGTTAGCAATTTTCTAGTCATCTCAGGAATAATGAAAATAACTGTAAATAAATTATAGTACTTTAATTGTCTTAAGCGTAGCTGAAGACTATATTTCTAGGTATTGTATCTGTATCAGTATGTGGTCTGTCACGTCGCGTAATTAGCCAATAAAAATTCATAATGAACGTCAACCCAAATCTAATACGAACTTCTGTAGTTGCGCTTCGGACACTTATTAATTTCTGATTATCTAGTATATATCTTTTATAAATTTAAACGAGAAGAAGCGCATGTGATATACACACAGATAAAATTAATATCTATGTTATTGTAAACACATATTTATCTATCATATTTTTATAATTTACAAATTTTATATTTTACTATTTTATATGTATATTGGTTTACTAATGAAGTTATGCTTACTACTGTACTAAGAAGGTTTTAAGAGCTTTATCAATGCAATTTGGCAGTAATTAAAAATCTTGCGCAATTATTGTGATTAATTGAAATAATCCTTCTAATAATTTTTAGTTCTTGATGAATACGTATATTTATAGGCTGTTAGATTTGGGATTCAATACCTTGAGTCCATTTGTCAATCCAGGCCCAGCAAAAGCTCATAATAATATCCAAGCCCGACCTATGTGAAACATATCCATGGATAGTTCAAGCAATGTTCAAGCCCATGTGGAATCATACTTTGGCTAGCTGCTATAATAGCCAATACGTAATTTTACAATATTTCACTTTATTAATATTCATTTAAATGTCCAATAAAGTAGAAAACTAGTAACATAAGTATATTTACTTTAGACTCTAAGACTTTATATGTAATTTGTTTTTGCTATTATACACCCTTTATATTTAAAGCGTTGTCTCATTTTTCTTTTCTCCTTTTTTTCTAAATAATTGGTTTTGCATTTTATCTGCTTTTACATTTACTTTTTATTTATGATGACCGCATTTTTTTAGTTTTACTTTACAGGACTTATATTTTACATTTATTTATTATAATAATTTTATACTTTAATTTTATGATAAAGTTAATATAATTAGGTCAAAATTTTGAGAAATTAGCATATTGTTGTCGCAAAGTGCACACCATCAAAATTAATTATAACAAAATTCAAAAAAATCAGCATGATGTTTTTGCCAAGTATATTTCGCTAACTCTTTTTCTCTTTTGAATTCCAATAAGATTAATAAGTCCTTTGCTGATTCTTTTTTTTTTTTTATTATTAGAAATAAATTAATTATTTGAAAGTTTTAAATTATTTAAAGCATCATTTATGCCAAGAACCTCTACAAATGTTTTTTTTTATTTATAATTGAGATAATTAATGTAAAGGTTTAAAAAAAGGTCATTTATTGTTTTTACATAGAGCATCTACTAGAGTAGTTTCTTTCAATTTTTTGATCCGGTTCATCCATGATTTCTATAACTAAGGTCAACTAATCGGTCCAATTGGGAAATATCTAATTAGCCACGAGTGTTAATGTTAGGGTTGATAATGTTTATATTTTACAAACTCATTGTAATTAAGAAAAGCAATAAACCCAAGTACAAAAATACGTACGTATGTACATTCTTTATTTTTTGAATATACCATATTGATTTTGGGTCAAATATCCTGAAAATCGAAATCCCAATGATATTAAATCCAGAGATAGGATAGGCAAGGTAATTACTTATTACATAAAAAGTTAAGTCACTATGCGACGATTACTAATGTCACGTTGTGAGATTTATCTTGCCCATCTCTAACATCTTCGATGCACTAAATCTTGAAGGTATAATATCCTGAAAATTAAATTTTGAAAAAATAAAATTATAATCCCGAAATCAATCAATCCTCCGAAAATCAGTCCCAAAAAAATTAAATCCCTCAAATCCCGAAAATTAAAATATTTTTTCTATTAGGCCATGCAAAATTAATTAATTGGTTTTCATAACCCGGCCGGGTCAAAATTTGAAAATTTCAAAAAAAAAATT